ATCGCAGGGGGCCAGGTCATGCTGTTAAAGCGCTTCAGTGCTGAGCAGGGCCCCACTGGATATTAATTTCTATCGGGTGGCCCTAACAGGATGGGCCCCTGAACATGTGGCCCTGGCGGTTACACCGTGTGGGCCAGGGCCACAACACATGGCTGGTGGGCACCTCGGTCGCAGGGGTCCACAGGGCAGCCGGGCCCCTGGAGGGACGGTCGTGGCTGTGACCACGGCAGTTCAGCCACTGTTGAGGGACCTACCTACCTTACAACCCAGACAGACAGTACAGATCATTTTATTTGCAAGCCCCATCTTTGACCCTGTAAGACATGCACATGGCAGACACTGCTGTACTTGCAAGACACCGCTGAAAACAAATATTGGTATTTTAGCGCAGTAACAAATATCACGATATCATTGGTGAAAAGTAATTAAAAACTAAACCAATCCCGTGGGGGGTCACTAAACCCCAATATTATTATAAGTGAGGTTTTAAACCTCCCTATGTCCAAACTGAAACGGGGAGATCTACTAAATATTTAAAACATTAGCAGAGCAGGAACTGGGTGGCGCAATCTCATGTAGATGGGTCCTATATTATAACAGAGGGGGGGGGATGGGGGATTTTAAATTGAAAATAATGGCTGATGGACAGATCAATGTCAGCCCCTTGTGGCCTGAAAATGGGGGGGGGGCTGTTTTTTTATTATTATTATAAAAGTGCAGCTACAGAGGTCTAGCCCCCCCACTCCCACAGTCTGGCTGTAGCCCCTGGCAACCTTAACCCGACTCTATTTTCTTTTCCCACAACAATGTCTGCCTTTTGCCAAGATGGCCGCCGTGGCCTCAGCCGCGCCCAGAGACGCTTATCCGGGCCAAACAAGGCGTCACTGCGAGAGGCGGAGCCGCCGCGTCACTGCTGCGCGCTGACGTCACGGAGGAGGCGGGGCCGGCTGAGGGTATATAAAGCCGCGCGGCCATTTCCTCGGTTACGTGTTCAGCAGCTCTGCCTCGCGCTCACAGCTTACCAGCAGCAGCTCGCGCTCTCTCTCACCGTCTCTTTCTCTCTGCCCGCGCGGCCTCCACAGCTCTGCTGCCGTCCCCACCGAGGATACCCCATCCTATCGTATGTCAGCTATCCAGAACCTCCAACACTTCGGTGAGTCTCCCCCCACATCATCACACACACTCACACTCAGCCCTCACAGAGCCCAGGGGATCACTGCGAGCCGTGTCAGCCGCCATTTTACACCTCACACCCGGGTTCCTGTCAGGAATGGCTCCGGGGGGGTGGGGGGCGGACGGTTAATGTTACTGGGGCGGTGGGAGCTCGTTATACCGTGTTATGTTACTATGTATTAGTCCGGTGATCTGACCTCACTGGGAGGCGGAGTACTGCGTGAGGTAACGGCGGACTTAGAGGCGATAAAATGGCGGCGCCGTCTTCCTTTCTGTTTTGAACCCGTTACGACGTAGTTTCCGTGACGTCAGACGCAAAGGGCGTGCCTTCGCTGTATAGCCACGCCCTCCAGCGTGACGCACTGGGTGGGTCCCCCCCCTAATTTTTACAATTTCGCTAATGTAACCTGATGACTCAGTGGTATTGATCGAACTACAACTCCCGTGATGCTCCGCCACTAAGGATTGCTTAATCCCTCTATGGGATATGTAGTTCTATTGCAGAGATCTTGTGTTAGCATTCTAGATCTGGCTAGATGAACTTACAGCTTGAGAGGGAGGGGACTGCTATTTGTAGGCCAGTTATAGGAGATTTTTATGGCTTTAGTTAAATTAAAATGCCATTTGCTTCATGGATGAATCAGGCTCGCGTCTTGCATTGCAGGACAGGGACACTGTATCCAGGTCACCTCTCTGAGGTCTGGGTGACACTCATCATCATTTTTGTATGTAAATGTAACCAAACACCTTGGGGGAAAATGTCACATACTGCATTGTATCTGTAACTGATGTGTTCAGGAATACATTTATTTATTTTTTGGTCTTGCAGCAATTAACATGCAATTTATTTTATTTATTTCAGACCCCTTTGCTGATGCAAGTAAGGGTGATGACTGGCTCCCAGCTGGGACAGAGGATTCTATCCATATAAGGATTCAGCAAAGGAACGGCAGGAAGACCCTTACAACTGTCCAGGGGATATCTGATGACTACGACAAGAAAAAACTAGTTAAAGCTTTCAAAAAGGTAAAAAATATATAATTTTCTGTATGACAAGGTTAACCCCATAAGGACACATGACATGTCATGATTCCCTTTTTATTCCAGAAGTTTGGTCCTTAAGGGGTTAAAGGAGCACTGTAGTGATTCTGGTGCCAGGAGTACACTGTCCCTCCATGTGAGTGTTCCTATAAAATTGGATGCCCATAACATACTTTTGATCTTCTAATTCTCGTTACAGAAATTCGCTTGCAATGGTACTGTGGTTGAGCATCCAGAATACGGAGAGGTGATCCAGCTTCAGGGAGACCAACGCAAGAATGCCTGTCAGTTCCTTGTGGAGGTACATAATGGCTTTCTTGTTACAACTCCTAAAATGCATACGTGTGGTGTTGTGAAATTTATCTCAAATTTATATTTTTTTATTTTTTTTTTCAGGTTGGACTTGCCAAGGACGACCAGCTGAAGGTCCATGGGTTTTAAGCAGCAAAACATGTCGTCTGCATCTAAAGTTAAAGAACCTCCTCTGGCAATGCATAGAAAACAAACTCCTCCCTTGTCACAAGTTTAAAACTTGACTTGTGAAATGCTGCCACATTAAGGACTGTAATAAACTTTGTTAACTCTCTATACTGTCTCGGGGACAAGTCCATGTTTTAACAAAGGGTGTTTTTTGTGTGTGTTTTTTTTTTTTTTTTTTTTTATATGGCATGAATATGTCTAGATGTCAGTCTGTCTGTGTAGTTACAGGTCCCATGGTGCTATGGCCTAGGTGGGCCAGGGTTTATAACTATACAAAATGTGACTTGTACATGCATCATAGTGGTGAGGTAAGTTGACCTCTAACCAAGCCTAAAGATGGGACAAATCTTTGCTGTATAGTGGGTCACACTATGTTGACAGTGGGTGTAAAGTCTGTCAGCCTATTTGTCAGAGCATCAGAAGATGCATCAAAGGACAGTTTGTGGGTAAACTTATGACAAGGGAAACAATTTATTTTGGACTAATGTAGAAGCAAAGCTGACATACTTTTGTATACTGGCTAGAAACATGCTTTTGAGTTTCCATTTTAAAGCTGTACATGTATTTAACATTTTATTTAAATAAAACTTTTCAATGAAGTCTTTTAAAGTCTCTTTCTGCTGAATGTGGCAATTCCCTTACATGTCTGGAATAAATGTATCTGAACATTCTCAATCCAGAACATTAGGTAGTTGGGATATTTTAAAATCCTGTCTTAAACCAAACCACCTTTTTAGTGGGGAAATTCTTCATTTATATAGCAAAGCTTCTCACAGAAGTTCATACTTGCACACCTACCATAGCAAGTTCTGGTATCTCAAACCAAATGCGTTGTGATGGAAGCTGGGAGAATGAAGGACAGAGTGAACAAATATTGCTTGTGTTGCAGGCAAATGCAAGGTGGATTTTTGGTTGTCTGTGTCCTAAATATGGAAGGGGATAAAAGCACACACCAAGAAATGTACCGCTTTTGATAATTAAACTCAAACCTAAGATTTGTAGGGCCTGCTACAGTTTGGGGGTTTTTTTTGGTCTGGGGAAAAAGCTGTTAAACTTGCAAGTGTGACTAACAGAAGTGTAAGTCCTATTTGGTTTAAGGGTTGTTGTGTGGGTTTTTTTTGGTTCCAGGTCCCTCTAGTTTTAACCCTGCAGCTGAAAACCTAACTGTTACAGAGAAAATGCTAGGTTTCCACTGCAGGGTTAATCCAGTCTCTAGTGGCTGTCTCCCTGAGGACGCTTCTGTGATTTACAGAGTAAATCGCACTTAATTGACACTGGCTGTACTCACGGAGTCCAGTGCCAAACAAAATCCTTATAGGAAAGCATTGAGTAATGCGTTCCCTTGGGTGGGTTTGAATGTGCGCTTCTGGCCAAACGTGCACATTCAGCTACACTTAGGAGCTGACCAATGGAGAGGTGCCACCAGTGCTGAGGGAGCCCCACTGGATTATTTTTGTAGAATGCAATTGCATTAGTTTGACATGACCATGTTTCATAAAACCATGCTGATTATTGCTAATAAAGTTCTTCCCAATGAATTACTGAATATTATCCCTTAATAGCCCTTCAAATATTTTCCCAGTCTCAGAAGTTAAGCTCACAGGTCTATAATTTCCAGGCAATGATTTTGAACCATTATTAAATATAGGAACGACATCTGCCTTCCTCCAATCCTCTGGTACAATACCTGCAACAAAAGAATCTTGAAAAAGAGGTTCACCTATTTCCCCACTTAGCTCCTTAAGTATATGTGGGTGAATACCGTCAGGCCCCAGAGCTTTATTTAGATTACTTTTCTTTAACAGCTGTAGCACATTGTCTTGCGTTATCCAATCACAAGTTATCTGCAAGTTTTTTTTTAAAGCAATAATTAGCATATCTCTTGCCATAGGATCCTCATTAATCTATACTGAAGAAAAATCGTTAATTAAAAGTTCTGTCTTTTCCTGGTTTTCATTAGCTAACAGACCCATCTGTTTCCAGTGTACCTACGATAAAATTTTTAGTTTTTTTTTTAGAATTGATATACTTGAAAAAAATGTTGTGGTTGGTTTTGCAATCTTTGGCTATCTGTTTCTCATTTTCTAATTCAGCCACTTTAAATGCCTTTTTGCAAGCATTATAGGCTTCATTATATCTTATATAGGATGCTTCTGACCGATTTAAATACCCTTTTCTTATTTTTAATATCTTGTTTACTTCTCTACTAAGTCACATTGGTTTCAATTTGTTTCTTTTATATTTATTACCTAATGGTACATACTGAGAAATTTGTCATTGGTGTTACACTCCCTACAGACTTGCAAATAGACAACAAGAGCCACTAGGTGGAGATGTTGCATTACCATTCCACAGCATTGGAAAAGGGAATTATTTTAGCACATATCTCAGGTGGAGTAGTACATGTGATTTGGTGGAATATAGAACCTTCAAGACCCTGATGTGGAGTTTTGGTGAAATGTGTTATATGACTGCTGCACGTGAGTGTAGAAAAACAAAAATCAGTTATGTCAGTAGGTGCGTTATGGGAATGCTGCTACAAGACACATGGCTATAATAACGGGTACTTTGGTTTAATTTCGATGATTTGCCCCTTTACCTGGGGAATGACACCAGGGTACCACTAACATCATAGTCACTACAGAGATCGGCAGTAGTTATATTTTTTTGCATAGTTTTTCACCCTTGTCCCCTTGGCAAGCCCATCAATGGCCCGGAGTCCTGTGCTGTCGTCCATACTTTGTTGGACATGCTTGCACTGTGAACAAGCAGTAGTCTTATGCAGAGGTCCATTCAGCAGCGCTCTGTGCAAGGTCTTGTAGGTTGGGAGACAGCCCCTTCAATGGACGGGCCCACCACTTTTCTGCACAAATCCATTATGGATGTCATCAGTGACACAAATCTAATCACTGGACCTGCCCGCCCATCCCAATCTCATACTTCCCAATGTTGGACAGTGTGTTTTATTTCATAGAATGGATTACCTCCTGTATGTTTTGGATTGCAGGTGTACTAATCTGCACCTTGGCCAATGTGTTTGAAACCTCTAAGCACATGATTTGGGATGGCTTACAATACTACATATCACTAAACATTTCTGGTAGACAAAGAGTGACACGTTAATTTTAGAAGTGTGAGTGGGGTAGGTGGCCAGGCACGGAGCTGTTCTGAGAAATTTTAGGAGACATTAATAATTTATGAACTTAAAATGTAATTTGTAACAAGAACATTGAATCTTATTTACACAGACTGATTTCTAGAAACATTTATTGTAGTTTAGACACATTACTGGGAGTATTATTGCTGTGGAGCTCTTTTATACACCGACATGCCAATAATATGGAGCTTCTAGAAAATAGACACTAGGATAGAAAAGAAGGATTCGGGCTAAAAAAATGACTGTCCATCCTAATAGGGACACTTAGCAGGTAGGTGTTGTGGGTGACTGGGTGTTTGCATTGAGTAACAAGTCATCAGCCTGAAACCATTGTTTGTATACTGTATGAGCTACAAGAAAATAAATCCCATAGCTAATATAGCTTTGGAATTAAAAGGTGATGTATACCTCTGATCTATACCGCTTGTGTGCTTATATTCCCTTAATGATATAACTTTAATTAATGATGTCATTAGGTTCAGATTAACATAGAGCCACAATCTCAGGCCTATGCATACATGTGATAAGGAAGTCTTTCTGGCATGTGGAGGAGTTGCTAAGTAGATAGACGAGCAGCATGCTGTAATACTTTTTTTGTGTGTGTGTGTACAAAAAGCTATAAAGATTTGAGCATTCAAAAAAAATAATAGCATATTTGTGATGCAAAAACCTATTGAATGCAACTAAAGTTGTATTGTTGCCCGGAGTGTCCCTTTAACTGGGGAGGTGTGCTTATCACAACGGATTATAAAATTTTTGTTTTTCATTTTTTCGCCAAGATCCCATAATTCAATGATGGGAAACTATTACTTTTTAATATAAATTGTCATTCAATCTTTGGACACTCTCATGGTTGGGAGCCGGGGGAGAGATGGGACCAATTTTGGTCTTTCAGACTTTTAGTAGATGGCTCCCTAATACCGTGGGAATTAAGGAGCTATCTACTAAGCAGCTACAAGATGCAGCTGCGGCACTGACTGGATCAGAATTTCATTAATTCGAATGAAATTCCAAACCGAACAAAAAGTACATAATTTCATCCTATCATGAATGGACAAACTGTACTCATTCTGTTAGGACGAAATTCAGTAGTTTCACGGGCGTCCTGTCTATATGCCAGGACGTTCGAACAGCGAATGAAGCAAAGCGAGGTCACGGAGGAAGGGTGAGTATTGTGGGAAATTTTATTTGACCACAGGAAATGGAGCGGAGTTAAGCTCCACCTTGGATCAAATATGGTCAAACGTAGGAAAAATACATAAGACAATTTAGTCCATAATTTGTCTTATGTTTTAAAAAAAACTAGATTAGAAAAGAAGAACAGATCCTGAGAAAGGAAGAGAGAGAGCGATTGGGGAAAGGTACGTTTGGCATGACAGTGCCACTTAAATTTGCATTAAATTCACTTTAGCAGATAACCTTGTTTATGTACTCTCAACCTTTGAGTGTGGTAAGTGGCAATTGGTTTCATCGTCATTGTGTTAAACAATCGACCCATGTTAATGTCCATTTTAAACTCTCATAAATTATTTACATTTCTCCCATTCCATAACTTTATTAATGAATATGCTTTCTCTCATGTATCTTTGATCCCTTACAGCCCATTAATTACATAAATCAAAAACTCAATACAACGTGCAGGAGAAGAGCTATATATAAGGATGCAGACAAATGATACTGTTGTCTAAAAGATGCTTCCCATTCTAAAATCTAAAACCATGATCAGGTTGCTAATGAAGCACGTGGATCTTTGTTCTATTACATGTGGGTACTTGAGTTTCTTGAATTACCTTAATTAGTTCACATTTCATGGCATGGATATTTTGATAGGGAACTATTTTACCAGTGCACCATGTTAATATCACTTTTCAGTGCATCTCCTGGATTACGCTTCCTCTTCGAGATGACCATCTGTACAGCCGCTTTGGTCGGAAACAGCATGTATCTCCTACAACTGCGCACAACTTGAATGGCCAAAACCGACTAAGTAAATTTTTTAGATGCCTGTTACTTGCTGGTGTCATTGGTAGCTGTGAATGAGCACCACTGGTAGCTTCCCATAACCTACTCCCTTTCTTGTTATAATAAACTATCACTGAGCATTTTGGAAAAATGCCACGATTCTCCTTGGGTCCAAGGGTTCTTATGCAACCACTCGGGTAATAACAAAAAGATTCACTTCTGTTATACATCCAAAGTCACTCAAATGATAAGCTAAGAGAGCTGGATTAACCCACCCAGTATTCCTTTCCAAGGTTTGAACACTTTGGACAGATAATGATTGAGAAAATCATTCACATTAATTCAGCAGGAGACGCTGCAAAGAGGTCAAGTTTGGGTGTTACTTAGAGCTCTCCATTTTTTGTCAAACCACTCAAGCAGTTTGAAAGAGAGCAGAGTTATAGCATTCAAATACCAATAGTGTTTATAACGCTTATGCCTCGTTTCCACTGAGCGAGTCGTTTCAGTTCGGTACGGTTTGCTATTTTGGGTGTTTCC